GAATGGAGAAACTGTGCAACTTCGTATGGAAGTGGAGTGGATGATTAGATTAGTTTGAAAGCTTCGAATCGATGTGATGATAGCTGGAGCTTTTGTGAGACTGGTAGTTATCAGAGGAAGATGAACCGTTGTTATCATTTTCGGAAACCTTGTTCAAAATAATTTCATTCCTGAACTTGCAAGAAAATAAGTACATAAATGAGTAAACTACAAATTTGGTCCCTATAGTTTGTTAAAAGTAACATTTTTAGTATATGCAGTTCCAAATTACAAGATGACCTACAAAAAGTCAAAAACATCTAGAAGTGGTCCTTCTTTTAATGATTGTTAGAAAATTTCATCAAGTAAGGGGCATTTTCGTTACTTTTTTTTTTACCCAATCAAAAACCACAAGAAATCAAAATCATAAAACTATTTTTAATTAACGGACAAAAAAATCGATAAAATGAAGAAAATGTCTCTCATCCAACGAAATTCAATAACCATTACAGGAAGGGATCAAATCCGGACGTTTTTACAAACTGATGGTCATTTTCTAATTTCAAAACTGGTGGCAACAAATAGAATATTACAGTAAATACGAGAATTAGGGTTTAAAAAGGTTAATTCAAATCAAGAATCTACAAAAATGATTCTTCTATGAACTTTTTGTGATAATCTTAAGTTCGTTTCTTTAAAAAGTATCGAGTTTGTTCAGACATTTTACATGAAGCATGTGAACCAAATACATCAAAAAGTTGACGATCTTATTAAAGGACATAGGGAAAGTTTGGTTTATATAAAATAGACATTTTACATGAATCCCGCTAACAAAAATATCCGAATCAAATAGACTAAAAAGTTATTGATACCTCGAAGAAAAAAAGGTTAAATTGTTTTTTGAGTAAACCATTCTTTATTTTAGTCCATTGGTTTGTTAAAAATTGAATTGTGATTTCCATCCTTGTGCTTACAATGTATTACGGTTTTTATTTCAATAGTTTATAACTCGTTCTCAAACATAATTTCGTGAGTAGTTTACCGTTAAGTATAAGGGGTAAAAATGTAATTTCAAAGGCAAAGGGATAAAATAATAATTTTTAATAAACCGCAAGGAAAAAAACGTAGATTACTCTTATTTATTTAGAGTAAACTACAAATTTGGTCTTTGTGGTTTATAAAAAATAACACTTTTCGTCCTTATAGTACTCTCCTTGATGCCTCCAACTTTTTTTCTACCGACCCCTCTTACTGCTTTTCATGTCGTAATTCTTAATAGTTCCATTATTATTTTTGGATGATTTTGTTATTTAATTCTAACGATTCTTTTTGGAATGTTTGTTAATTTTGCCAACTTATGTGTTCTTCGTCATCATTAATGATGTTCTACTAACAATTTCAAAACAACTCGAGACTATTTAACCCAAACCTTATTCGGTTCCCTGCTTTTTACTGTATAAACAAATGAGTATCGATAAACACCTATAATACCAAGTGTGCAAATTCTAGATATGCATTTCTTTTTGGCAAATATTTCTAAATGACAAAAAAAGAAAGTGTATAACAATATGTAACATTGGTATAAGGTGAACAGGGTGGTCATTTCATGTAATCTTGTACACAAAACCCATCAAGGAATTTGTAACTACAAACTATAGATCAAGCTTAAATAGCCAAACCAGATTAACAAACCAGACCAAAAAGGGATAAGATGTACGTATACTATCTGTCTGTAGCCCAAGGGGTAAATAGACTGTTTTCGTGGGGTCCTTTTTGTATCTCAAGGGGTAGATAGACTGTTTCCATGAAGACCTCTGTGTAAATGAAGCTATATGAGGCCTTGTAACCTTCCCTTTGCAAGAATCCATATGGATAAACAATTTGGATTACTCCCATTAGCTAATCTTTATCAAAATCTATATACATCCTATATGCATCTCGATCTGAGGAATAATAACCCTTCACCAGAGTGTCGATTTGAAAGTCGAGTTTCTTGTATAGATGCATTGCTGAAGTTCTTAAAGGATCCACATGAAGCGACACACGATGTATGCTTTTAATCCTGCATTTCTCTATCGCTGCTTTCAACAACGCCTCTCCATGTCCGTGTCTCCTATGGTTCTCCTTCACTAGTTTTTATTGGTAAAAACACGACAATAAAGAAAAATCAGAACTAGAAATGTTACAAGTTTCAAACAAAAAACATAAAGATTAAGACAGTTGGATCTTGAAGATATATGTAAATATATAGGGGTTAAATCAAATGAGAACCACATAAAGGTTATAAATCCCGTGAGAACCGATTTAACATTAAATTTTTACATGATTTTTTTTCAACAAATGCTAGGATTGATGATATTGTTTAACATATATTTGTTTCATAATGTGATAGTTTCACATGTATTTGTTTCACCATATGAATATTTTTTATGTGCATTTTTCGTTTTATTCGGTGAATCAAAAAAAAAGTTTCATATGCAATTTTTTTCATAAGATGAACACAAACACATGTGAAACAATATGTTAAATCATAGCTTTTGATCAAAAAAATAATGTAAAAAGATATTTTTATATCGGTTTCACAGGTTTGTAACATTTTTGTGGTTCTCATTTGATTATCGTTCCATATGTGTGTGTGTGTGTGTGTGTGTATGTATTGGGTAGGGTTATGTTGCAAACCAAGTCATTTATACAAATCGTGAAAACCGTCGATTTCATTGTTATTTTAGTGAAAAAATTTCATGAAATTGTTTAATATAATGAAATTGCTTCAAATAATTATGGACATTATCATCTTCATTTTATTAATTTTAGTAAACAAATTTCATCAAAATGAGAAATACATGAAACAATTTAATTTTGACATAGAAACAAAAATATATGAAACGTTTTCATCATGAAATGAATTTTTTGAAACAATTTCATCATACTAAACAATTCCGTGAAATTTTGTCACTAAAATCAACAATGAAATCGACGATTTTCAAGGTTTGTACAAATAGCTTGGTTTGCATTTTATCCCTCCCCTATATATATAGGGTTGGGTTATGGTATGAGAGTTAAGGTGAGAAGCTTAAGAAAAGGATCTCCATCCTTGGATGCACATTAGGATGAGATGCACAGGATCAATCCCGTATCAAGCGCAATTCATGGGTGGATTTGAGATCAAGGGTCCAGGTCCCTTCTTATGCTTCTCACTTTCACTCTCCTTCTCACACGATCCTTCACTTATGTATGCATATGTATATAGGGGGAAGTACATGTGAGAACCACAAAAAATAGAGAACCGGAGAACCTACATTCATTGATGCATATACACTAATGAATTTTAATGAGTATATACACAATGAACCTTTACATTCATTGTGCATACATAGTAGGCATGTATTAAATAAAGGAATATATGCAAGGTTCTCCGGTTCTCTATTTTTTGTGCTTCTCACATGAACCTGATCCTATATACAATTTGAAATTTTCATACACCTTCATGTTTTTAAAAATCAAACCAACCCAGTGTATCCTATCCGGAGGTAGGGTCCAGTAGGTAAGATGTACGCATACCTTACCTCTATCCCACTTCAATTTCCGCTAATATATGCCAACGCAAAATCACATGTTTATATTCGTATATGTACTAACAACAATAACTCATGGCAATAGAAAAGAAAAAAGGAAATCGGTGACGGTACCTGCGAGTTTCTTGATGATGGCACAGAGTGAAGAAGGACATGAATACATGACATAGCCAACAACTTCACCGTTAATTTCCAAGTAGAACAAACCGCTATTCTTCTTCTTGAGTTCATCATCAAAAGATCGAGCAAGTGATACGTGTTTGGGAAAAATCTTCTTCTCTAACCTTGCTATTTCATCGACTATTTTCTCCCAGCTGGTTGCCTTTCTATGGAGTTCGTTCAACAGGATCGAACCACCTGCCATGTGTTTGAGATTGTAGGACTCTCCCGCAAGCTCGGTGACAAAACCCTACTGCAAATTCCGAAAAGATCAAAACTCAAAAGCAGAACGGAACGGCTTATGATTTGATTTTTTGGTTTTGGTTTCTGCATAGGTATTTAAACACTGGAGTTTGATTTACTAGATTTGTTTGGTTTTGAACATTTGATCAACTCAAATCAAATGTTGAGACAATGAAATATTTCATGACATCCAAAACTGGAAATAGTTGCAATTTCACGAGACACTCAAATGTAACAAAAACCCAACATACCCAACATAATCCCACTCGAAACTTCAGTCTCAAAAGGCAGACATTTCCTCTACCAGTGAGGGTAATGTAGCGACTGAAGCACAAAGGAGATGACTTCTAGTTCAACTTGAAACCATGGCGGAGGTTGTTGGTAGCCCATAACTTTAAGCTTATAAGGAGCTCATACTCCATCACTTAAATTCCTAACGTCCTTGTCAGACCTTCCCATAATCCTCCTTGTAATCGGCGATATAGGATTTGCCTAAAGTGTTACTGTTACAACCCCAAGGACTCATCATGCCCGGCAAGGTTTGCCCCACAATCCAAATGAAAAGATTACATCTGAATGTCTTTTTCCATCTTTCATCTTCTTTAGTTGCAATAAGCTTTTATAACTACATTTAACTTTAGGGTTGCAATATTTTGGGATGTTATAACCTAACTTAACCATGTCAAATATGAAATTGTAAAGCAATAGGGTCTGAACTTGGAAGGCTGGAAGGTTTCAATCTGATTATGGAACAGATGGAGTAAGTAGTATATATAATTCACATAAATTGCTCAATTGTGACGATAAATTGACATGCGAACAGAGAGAAGGGATTAAAAACCTGAGATGGTTGTGGTGGTCTGATGCAGAAGCGATTGAATGCAGAAGCGATTGGAGTGGATTGCTTTGAGAGCTTCGGATCGATTTGATTTTATGATACTTTGGAGCTTTTGTCAGACTTGAAGATGAATCGGAGTTGCTGTCGTCTCCAAAACCCTTCCAAGAAAAAACTAAAATAAAAAAGAATAAGAAAAAGAAAAAGAAAGTAAATTTGGGTTGTTTGTAGAGGATGGAGGGGGTGTTTGTGTTTGGGATTGTTTGTTTAAAATAAATTATGTTTTTTTTTGTAAAAGTGTTTATTAATTTATATGGTATTAAATCGGAGTTAAATAAAATATAGTTAAAATTGTAAAATGATAATAAATAGTTTTCATAAGTCATGAAAGATTAACTTATCAAAAACAGCTTATTACCGGTTTGGCACCGATATAAGCAGATTTTTTTTTCTTATCCAAACACCAGAAAATAGTTTATCACCGGTGCCAGACTGAAATAAGTTAAAAAAAAACAACGTTTAAAAACAATCCCAAACACCCCCGTAGAGATGGTCAAATAACGGGGACACCGGGCCTTGGTATTTTGGTTGGAATGGGGACCGGTTATGGAAAGACAAAATTGGGATTGGGACTGATTTGGAGCCGGTTTGAAATCGATTTTTGACCATCTTTAGTTGTTTGTACGTACAAGCTCAAGCACAGTAAGAAAAGAAACACCCTTTGTAAGCAGTAACTATCGTTTAAAAATGTGTCATGGCGTCCATGGTGCAATATAATGTGTGTCATGGCGTCCATGATACAATATAACACGTGTCTTTGCCATTATAATAAGGCCTTCAACGTTTCTCTAAGGCGTTTGATAGCTTAGAATAGTATGTGTTCACACAGTAGACACAATGTCCCCACGTTGGCGGTGCAAGTGCACGTCGACATTATGATTGCTATAAGTAATAAAGTAGTAATGATTCCAAGATCGTATCCATAGGGATTGGATTTCAAGGTTTCGAGTACTAAATCGATAATACATAGATTAAATTAGAGAAGAAGAAAATATTTTGAGCGAGCTTCGATGATTTTAACAATTAAGTAAAGACAATTAATTTAACTCCAGATTTTTTATTCCTGTTTGGAGAAAAAGGAGATGTCTCCTAAAATTCCAAAGGAAAAAAGCTTTAAAATGGTTTTTAGATAACAAAGTTATTCTTCTTCTATTTTCATGCAAAAGTCAGGTTTACTTTCTTTTTAGATGCTTCATGCATCCCTTTTTTGTCTTCAATAAAATCTATCCAAACAAGTATGAATTTTGCCCAGTGTGGTGACATTGTGGGCATAGTCTCACAGTTCACCGAAAAATCATGTGCATAACCATAAAAATACAAACTTTTATTCTCAACCAGGGACGTTCCAATATTTTTGGAGGCTCTGCTACATCCAAAACTTTTGATTACATTGCATAAATGAGATAACAAAGAATATATACTAAGAACAAGAATAGACTAAACCAAAAACGATTAACAGTATGAAACTAAACCTAAACCATTAATAATTTGAACCTAAAACCAAACAATTAATGATTTGAACCTAAATAATTTCGGCTATAATTTTACACATGTCGATAAAAAGACCCTAACCATATGTAAATTTGGGCCCCAAAATTTCGAGGGCCATGTTCAAAATCCCACATTTAACATGCTAAGAAACGACCATGCTCTCAACAACTCAATAAAAATAAATAAATAATAAATGAAGAAGCATGAACATATAAAACGAGAAAGCAAACTAAAATGGAATAAAAACACACAAGTATGTGTAAGTAACACTCAAAATGAGAGTTATCAGCATGACTCAAATTATATAAAATTATTTGAATTTCATGAAATGATTTGGAATCTTTGATGTGTTTGGTTTGTAAGATTTGAAATGAAATTGAATTTATTTCATTCTATAAATAATTTATAATAACAAATTATATAAAATTTAAAAAAATAATTAAATTACATTTGTATTAAATGATTATTACAAATAAAGTGTTTTTAATATAATTTAAAACATTATTACAAATAAATCTTATGAAATCCTGTGAGACGCAAACTAGTCCTACGAGATTTCTAAATCCCATGTTTATGGGATTCAATGAAATATAAGGATGTTAAGTTTAAGCATTCTTTCAAACCAAACACAAGATTTCCTTTCAAAAAAAAAAAAACCAAACATAGGATTGAAATGAAATTCGATTTCAAATCTTATCGAACTTCACAAACCAAATGAGATCATTGTGTTTTTAGAAGGAATATGATTTGTCGAATAAATTGAAATCTGAGAACTTAGAATGGAACTGAATCTGGTTCGATCAGATATATTTGTGTACGAATAAGTTTGTCTTTTAACAAAATCTAGAGGGAATGAAATCGAATTAGATCATGTTTGTGTTTCATACCAAATTCGTTTTTTTGGACAACCGTACCACAAATTCATAGTCTCCCTTGCAAGTTGTGCTTCGAATTGTGATACCTATCCATTTATGATTCTTTATATAACATGTTAGCTGCTGAAAAAAGACGTATATGTCAAACTAACACTCCGTTACTAGTTCTGATAACACGATGACTCACAAAACAATATTGTAAATAAACATATATCTTATTGACAATGTATAATGTTCATGTAGCACTTTGTTCCTATAACCCCCGTTTATATCTCAGTTTCGAAAATAAACACGAGATTCATCTGATACAACCTGTTTCAACACCCTATAAATATTTAGGGCTCGTTATCAATAATCAGTGGCATGGAAGTTCTTAACTATATTGACTAGTCCTAGCATGCTTGGTCATTGAGTCTCCCTATCGATTACAACGTCAAAATACTTAGGAGCCGTTTACCAAACGCTTACTCGGGTAAGCACTCACGAAGTCACATTATCTCACCGGATGAATATGACAAGGACCAAGAATCTTACCCGGTAAGAGCGAGACAAGGACCAAGAGTCTTACCTGGTAAGTGAGGGCGACGAATCTTACCACGATAAGCACTTACCGGGTAAATTGTTGCATTCAATGTCGTTTTGGTGGACTAAAAACTTACCCAGTAAGTAAATATTAGGGTTAAATTTTATTAGTAAGCACTTACCGGATAAATATTTGATAAACGACCTCTTAGTTGATCTCTTCACATTATGAATTCTATTGTCAATTCACTTTATGGAAATATTTTTCAAATATTATTTCACATTGATGATTTCATATTGTTGTATAAAATCTCCTAAAATAGTTCAATGATTTCATTACAATGTCTACAATTTTACGTCATTTTGGACCGGAATGAATAACGTCAACTGTAAAGTTGATTACTCGTTTTCTTTTTTATTTTATAGTTCAATAGTTTATTTAAAACTTTTATATAATTGATAGCTATATGATAAAGGGGCAAATCATAGAAGCTATTTTTGGATCCTTTTTTTGGTATGATTATACATTGGTTCAGTTGAACGGTTTGAAGTCATTTGAATAACCCAATCCAAAACCATAAGGGTGGTGCCTGATTGGTTTGAGTTTGGCTCCTAAGATCAAAAGTATCAGGAGGTCTTATGTTCAAATCCAAGAAGAAATAAAAATCCCCTTGTGGCCATGGAAGTTCAAATGCGGTGACTCCGGACTATCTACAAAGCAGGTGGTCGTCCTGAGATTAGTCGGCTCGCATAGCGGGTTGAATATCCAGGTTAATCAAAAAAAAAAACCCCAACCCAACTACTTCAGTTGGGAAAGTCATAACCCATTTAATCCTCTTTAATTTATAACCTAACCCATTGCATGTCGGTTTGTGTTGGTACGGTCTGGATTGGACGGTTTGAATGTATTTAAAAACTTGATTGTATTATAATGCAAAACCAAAAAAAAAAAATAGTAATAGTTGATACTTGAAACAGTTTAATTAAAAAACAGTTTATTGTGGAGGGTGTTAATCATGGATATTATCATCTTCATTATTTTAATTTTAGAGAAATACATGAAACCGTTTAATTAAAATTTTATTAAATATTATATGAAACAATTTCATAACCATATATGAAACAAATTCTTCAAAAAAAGTATTATATGAAACAATTTCACAAAATTAAACAACTTCATGAAAAAATTTCATAAGATTAAACAATGAAATCGACGTATGAGAATGGTTTGTACGGTTTTTACAAATTTAATACAAATGAAAAAAAAAAGTTTAAAAACATAATAATTCAAAATGGAACAATTTCTTTAATTTTCTGAACTTTTTTCTTATTTAAATTTAATACAAATGGTTTATATAAATATCTTATCAATTAAAAATAACTAATTTATACTATATTATAAAACATTTGACAAAAACTTTTAAAAACCATTTTTTATGCATGAAGTACTGTATATATATATATATATATATGAGTTATTATACAACCCTTTACATTTGTACAACTAAATCTCAACCGTCCATTTAATTTGATCAATATATAATTTCATATAAGTTTTGATTATTATTTAATATAAAGTATTGATTATAATTAATGAATCATATTCATCTTTCATAAAATTACATATTATTTATAAACAGTTGAGATTGAGTTGTATTGGTTGTACAAATGTAAATGGTTGTATATAAAGAGAGAGAAAAATAGAACATTTAAAATGCAACCTATCACATTTGTACAACCAATGCAACACAATCAAATAATGTGCACAAATATATACATAAATTATATATATATATATATTATAATTAAAAATATGTGTATAAAATAGTTATATGATATAACTTAAAATAGTAATATATAAAGGATTATATATATATATATATATATATATATATACACTAAAAGCGTACTCGGACAATGCAGCGAGATACATCG